ACGTAACACATGTCCTAACCATCTCAGTCTATGTAATTTCACAGCCTCGTCGATTAATTTCCCTCCTTACCTAGAACCCGACACCTAACCTCAATATTGCTCACCTTATTATACCACTTCACACGGGTGACAGAACGCAGACACCTAAGATCAATGACAGCTAATCTTTTCATGTCTTCCACTCTCAATGGCCAGGTCTCACAGCTAGCCATAAAGGAGGACGGAGTGGACTGATGAGCAGTACACCCGCCTTTTGATCGATAGCCGGATATCACGTCTACGCCAAAGACATACATTCGACTGCAGTACACTAATACATCACTAGGCTATTGATTGTTCTAGATAGGCTGAAGATATTATCGATGCACACAGAGCCGAACATCAATACCTCCACCAAACCATTCATCATCATAGCATTCAGCTTTTTCAAGAAACTGACTGAGTTTTCCAGAGTAGAACTACGCACAGAAGTGCAGAAACCAAAATTGTCACACACACACACACCATATAGTAAAACAAGATACACCAAAGTGGAAAAATCCAAAAAAAACTGTAACGAACAGAAATGAATCAGACAAAGAAAAATAACTATGTGGAGAATAACAGGCATCTGAGAAATCACAAACATTGAATGAATGCATTTACACCACTGAGAACGATTTAAAGCTGTGTCGTTAATGGTCTCTAACCACTAAATCTTAGAAACTCGAGAAACCTCCCCTGTGTGACTCAAACTAACACTCACAGACCTCATTGATTGTTGACTGGTTTTGCTTTGACCAGCTCTAACTCTCTCTCTCTCTCTTCCAGACACTAATCTTATCAGCTAACATTTCTCTATGAGGAAAGAGGTGACTGATATGCGTAACACAACTTTCTCAATCATCTCAATAGATGCAGCGTCATAATCTCATCGAATTACTTCCCCTCTTTACTCCCTGAATAACTTCAGTACTACTCATCATGGAAGAAAAGGCGAACATCTGGGGTCAAAGACAGATAGCATTTTCATGTCTTCAGCTTTCAATAGCCAACTTAATAAACAACGTCTTCAACGACGTCAAATTCACAAGAGAAGACGAATCCGAGAACCAAATCCCATTTTTGGACGTCTTAGTCAAGCGAACAACCACAGGGGAATTAGAGACTCAAGTTTATAGAAAATCCACTCACACAGACCAAATACTCAATTACCACAGCAACAATCCAATAACACACAAAAGTAATTGCATACAAACACTATTTAAGAGGGCAAGGACTTATTGCAACACTCTCATCTTAAGGAAAATTGAAGAAAGATATATCATGGACGTCTTCCAAAAGAATGGATATCCACGGAATTTCATCAAAAGACATATAACCCTAAGCCAACCTATCAAACCAAAAGCCCCCAAGGAAAGCGAAAAGAAAATCGCCCTACCATATATAAAGGATATCTCAGAAATAAATGTTAGACTCTGCAAAACCTTTAGGAATTGACGCCGTACACAAACCAACAAAGTCACTTCACAGTTCTATGGCAACCAAAAGACTCAACAGAGAGAGAAGATAAAACCAACGTCATCTACAAAATACACTGTAACAACTGCGAAAATCACTACATTGGTCAAAGTGAACTACCCTCCTCTTCGTCTTCGTATAGACGAACAAAAACTAGCTGTCAAAAGACATGACATCCACTCCATCACTCATATCACTACATACAGACAACCACGGACATCAATTCGACTGAGACAACCAGTGTTCAAATATTAGGCAGAGGAAACAAAAAGAATGCTAGAGAATTTGTAGAAGGCTTCCTGGTATTCCAGTGAATCATCAGTCAGTAGACAAATCGAGATAGACAGAATTTATTATCAAACGATAAGAAAGAAACCTCACACACACAAAGGGTCAGAGTTCAGGTTAAGGAAACAACCAGTTCCAATACAAGTAGCCACCTAGAAGGTGTGAAAACACACAAAAGCAACCAACCGCGACATTGGTCACCAGGAGAGATGATTAATAAACTGGTGGAGAAATCTAAAAGCTCACTTCAACGAATTGAAGTATGCACTGAAGATGTCGCCTAGTAGCTTCGTAAATCGACTATCCACCACATCAAAAAAAAATCATCCAGCTGAGCTACAAATCTTCTCTATCATATCTAGATAGCCATATGTCTCATAGCCATAAAGAAGGACAAGTGAACCACTGTGCAGTACACACGTCGTTTGACCGATAGCCGGAGATGACGTCTACGCCATAGGGTCTTTATACGCCTATTGGGACTTCATCACCAATCAGTAAATGAGGCCTGATGCGTACTACTACCAAATAAATGAAGTGGTCACAACACGCTCTTCCAGCTCCAATTCTTTAAATCTTTAAACTAGGAGTCAGTGCATACCAGTTCTGCAGCATAGAAGACTTATAGAAGACTGAATTTTGTCAGAATCTTCATCTACAAGAACAATGTTATCCATATACTCTAATTTTACGAGACTGTTCCTTGGTAATAAGTCCATCCCTAAGTCAGTAAAGTCAATTATAGAGTCAATTCCATTATTATAATATTTATGCTAAAATTAAACAAATATGAGGACAGTGCGCATCCCTGATGAACACCACTGGTTGTCAGCAAGTCAGATGAGAATGTCATCCCCATAAGCACTTATATGACAGTGTGAATTCGAGTTAGGAGAACCGATCAGTGCGATAAAATTTTCCCCATACTCCCTTCACGATTAGACGTTATTACAGCACCACTCAGTCCACGCAGTCAAATGCCGCCGCCGCCAGATCAAGAGATATGTTAAGTGTTGGATGCCAGTCTGTTTGTCTGTCTGTTTTCGACGTAGAACTTTGCACAGATGCGCAGAAGTTCAAGTCGCCACACTCCATGTACCATACAAAGCAAAAGAAGAAAGCAGAAGAGATGCAAAATAGACAGCAAAACAGGGACAAGAGACGAAGGAATAGTAATAACGAAGAACAATATGGTTTTATTGGGCATTATAAGTAACGAGGAGTGGATGCATCTGTGCCAGCCATTGAGAACGATCACTTAGAGCCACACCACCAATTGTTTCCAGTCATTGGGTTTTACCGTCCCGAGGACTCCAACCAGTCAGGAAGTCTACACCTTCCTACGTGACTAGCTGGGTTAAACTAACTGTTGTGGATTTCATTGATTGACTGGAGCCATATTTTGGTTTGACCACCGCTAGCTCTTTTCCAACCTGACCCTATATCAGCCAACATTCCCTGTTGTCGAGGAAGGCGATGACTAGGCATACGTAACATATGCCCTATCCATCTCAGTCGATGTAATTTCACAGCCTCTTCGACTGATTTCCCCTCCCACCTAATTATCACTAGACACCTAACCTCAATATTGCTCAACTTATTATACCACTTCACACGGGAGATAGATTGCAGGCACCTAAGATTAAAGACAGCTAATCCTTTCATGTTTTCCACTATCAATGGCCAGGTCTCGCTCACAGTCATAAAGGAGGACGGAGCGGAGGATGCCAGTATGTTCTAGAATCTGTCGAAGAGTGAAGATATGATCAATACAACCTCTCCCTGGCCTAAAGACTGTCTGCTTTTCATGGGGTTTTTTTCTCTTAAGCACCGCTTTGTCTACGCAGGATTACTGAACCCGGAACATTAGGTACTATGTAAAGTCATGCTAATCCCCCACAATTTTTACTAGTAAAGCGAGACTTGTATCCCCCTTTCTAATAAACTGGAATAATTAATAGTTCACACCAGTCCTACACAACTGTCTCTCATTCCCGAACATCGCCTAATAATTTAGTTAACCCCAGACAACAGTTCATAAACACAATCCTTAAAAAAACTTTGAAATCACTGCACTAGGTCCCACCAATATTTGCCTTCTTCTTTCAGATTACAAAAGGCTTTTTAAATTAGAGTTAGAGTTGGAGGACTGATGTCGACATTCCATTCAGATAGGTACCGGATGCCTGGACAAGAGATCCCATATATATATATATATATATATATATATATATATGCTCCAAATGGAATGATTCTTAAGTTAGATGTTTTCCATGGTTAAATTCTATTTCGAACAGTAGTAATTAGTCACACCGGCTAACTTAATGGAAATAGATAATTTTAACAGCACAGCGACAGTGATCAAGATTCCTGGCCAACAACAACAGACAACTATCAGCCAGCATAAATGGGAGGAACCTAAAAGAAATAACCTCCTTTACATACCCACCTGGGAAGCATCATTTCAACTACAGGCGGAACTGATGAGGATATCAAAGCAGCGAGGATCGGGAAAGCAAGACAAGCTTTAATTACTCTCAAGTCTGTGTGGAGGTCAACAGCACTCAGTATGAAAATGAAAATGAGATCCGAATCTTCAACTCCAATGTAAAGTCAGAGCTACTTACTATACGGATCAGAGACTTGGCCAGCGCATCATAAACAGCACCTCGAACAAACTACAGACCTTCATTAACAGCTGTCTTCCCTCAATACTCAAGATCAGATGGCCAGCCATAAAAGATCAGCAATAGGGATCTCTTGTAATGAGTGAACCAACCAGGAACCGATTGTGCAACAAATAGGCAGGAAGAAATGGAGATGAATTGGCTGGCCATACTCTGAGAAAACAAACCATCAATTGACATCACTAGACAAGCCATTGCTCGAGCGTAACCCGAAAGGAAGGTGGCAAGTTGGTCGTCAGTGCAAGGGTTACTTGGAGGAGGTCATGTGAAGAGGAGATGAAAGCTGGTGTGGGCAGACTTGGAGCCAGGTGAAAACTCTAGGAGAGAACCAAACGCAATGGAGACGCGCGGCTGAAGCTCTATGTTCCTCTAGGAATTAAAGGAAATTATATATATATATATATATATATATATATATATATATATATATATATATATATATATATATATATATTCCAAAGAAACGTAGAAGTTCTTAAAATGGATTAACGACTTAAAAATAAAACGCAAAATGAAAGCCAATATGAAGTATTTGAAAAATATTTATTGTCATCTAGAAAAGGCATGTACAAAAAGAAAGTACAAGTTGTTGTTAAACAAAGCTGCTCTAACTGACTAAGTAACTTTCCCGTTCTCCTTCTTTACCAAATCTTTTTGTTTTGGAAATAACGTATAGCGAAGACGATTGTAGACCTGTTGGAAATCGACCAAAATACTAAGGTATACAATATAAGCAATACGTCGGTACCATTGACTGTAAAAACAAAAAGAACTATTGATTAGACTATTTGTTATAATCTTACTTGAATAGACTGCCTTATTGTAAGGGGAGATGTTGGTGGTGAAAACTAAGGCGAAACACTTTGTGAAGGCAAGACAGATATCAAAAGATAGAATGTGACTCAGTGGTGACTTTTTAGTAATTGTTAAAAACCACAAACTTCATACTTTATCGGTATCAAAAAGAGAGATACTGGGCTGGAGGTATTGCTCCGATCAAAACAGATGGTTGCCTTAAGAGTCCACCCTCGAACCTTTGACTTGAAGTCTGGTCCATCAGGAAGTGGAGCACAGCTTTCCCCTGGTTCTCGATGACCTAAACAGAATCATAGGCTATCTGTTCAATTAGGACTCTGAAGTCCATGTACACCATAGGTTAGGGATTAGGGTTTTCCAACACACACACACCAGGGTAGGTAGGTAGACCTGTATTTCCACCAGTCTGATTACAAGAACCAGACGTTTACATTCGCTCTTTTACTTTCGTGAGGGATGACTCCCCCACCACCATGGCATAAATGCAATGAACAGGACTTATCAGGTGGAGATTATGTGAGTGTGCAGCAACATTTCGAGAGGAAATTCGAAGGCTACCTACCTTCAGCAGGTAGACCTTCAGTAGTAATCAGGTAGTTTTTATGGGGGCAACTTTGGCCATTACCCGTCTTACCAGAATATCAGTTAACATGATGCTGCTAAATACTCCTCTCTCACTCAGTTTATATTCTAATAAAGCAGTCAAATATTATTATCCATCTACAGTTAAATCTGACGTTTCTGTACTAACTGTATTTTAGTGTGATTAACATTGAGGTATTTATCAACTAAAATACCAGGCTAGATAATATCAACCTAATTCGAAGTAGTGCTTAATGAAATATTCAGCATTCATTATGCGGGTAGCAGCAATTTTACTTCAGTCAATATGCAGTAAATCTAAAACAAGATAAATCGACAGTAAAATGAAGGCATCACTTAATCAGTTGGCGATCAGTGTCTGTAAGTATGGTATGTACTTTGCGCCGTCTAAGTGCAAAGTACTGTTACAAGTTTGGCAGGAGCCCGTACCTGCACTCACTCTTGAGGGTGACTTGATAAGATTGTGTATCTCGGTAGTTGTGTGAGTGCTGGTGGAGGGTGACGGATGAGATTTCCAACCGTATAATGAAGGCTAGGGTGGCATACATCAACTTCAGTCACCTCTGGCACCGTCGCAACGTTAGCCTGGCTGTCAAAGGTCGGGTATACAATGCTTCGGTGCGGGCTGTCTTGCTCTACGCCTGTGAAACCTGGCCTCTCCGAGTAGGCTGGGGACTCTGCGTGTAGGCGGTGACTCTGCATATCCGATCATTGCTGTCTCCACAGGATTGCTTGCGTTCGATGGCATCATCACGTGAGTAATTTTGAGGTTCGGTGGCATGTATTCGAACACAATGGAGATCACCATTCATTGAGTGTCGTCCTCATCTGGAAACACCGGCTCCGGTGTGCTGCGAATGTCATCTCAGAGGCTTCCGTACAGGTCTCTGTTCGCTAGCCAGACCTGGGACGGGGTGGAGAAGGTGGAAGGGTGGTCAGTGCATGACGTGGCGTCGTGCAATGAAGGATGTTTGCGCTAGATTAGCATCAGTTGGTACATCACAACTCCCTGGTTGGAGTCCGCGAGATAGCTCGAATCGATGGCTCGAAACGTTATCGGATATGGCCAAGAACGGTTAAGCGAGGTTTAAGAGTGTGTGTCAAGAGGGAATCGAACCCAGGACGTCCGCGCTGGCTAGATGAGTATTCCCACCACGCAACACCACCACAGACGCACCCTTATTATACAAACTCCCGTATAAGATATATATAATCCATAACCGTAACTATTAGGTAGCAGACTCTATATATTATACACTTGGTTTAGCAGATAGTTTCGCATCACTCTGTGGTAAGGTTTAATCACAACAAAAGTAAACAGTCTGGTAGTCTTAAAATTTCAGGCATACAGTTTGTTTAACTTATATATATGCGTCGGTGGCACAGCGGTTAGGACGCTCGCCGACCATGCAAATGGTCCAGGGTTCGATCCCCTGCCGACGCACACATCTATGGTTGGCCTGCAAACTTTGGGCTACCGATATCACATGCCGAAAATGCCATACTTGTACAGAAAATATGGTGTGGCATCAAGCTGTAATCAAAATAAATAAAAAAAATAAAATAAATAAATATAGTCAGCGATAAGCATAAAATAATCCAAATATTTTGTAGAGGAAACAACACAGTCATTTTCTTTCTCAGTATCACATACAGGTTAAAATGAATCCTCTTCTGTTTGTTCTCCTCCAAAAACTGCCGATGGAATGCCCCCAGATCAGTAACTCCTTTGCGTTCACATGAATCATCTGCTTTAACATCTTTGATATTCATGTTCTCTCTTGCCAGAAATGCATTCTTTGCCTATAATAAAAAAAGATAAATAAACACGAAGAGTAACAAAATCTGCCATCATCACAAAGAAGCATACCTGCACAACTTTTATGCCATTAATAATAATAATAATAATTTGTTTATTCCAAAACAGTACTTGTGTGGTGAGAGCAGGCTGCTAGCCGATTGGTTGGCACTAATCTACGTTAAGGTCTAGGTCACTAATATGGGCCGTGAGAAAATATGAACAAGCCTGAGTCAACAACCAATCACAGCAAAGTTAACGTGGCAGAATATGATTCGCAGAGAGAACTCTATTTGTCAAGGAATCCCGAAACAACCAATCAGAAGCCTGCGTTTGTCTACCTGAACAACCAATCAGATGACTGCGCTTGTCTATAATAATGTTGTCTGAAATATGTATAAATACGTGTTGATTTTCATAATAAAACGATCTGTTGCCTGGCCCTTGTCTTCTGTTGTTACATTTGGTGTCGCTGCCTACCGACAAATGGAAAGCCTATGCCCTGCTGTTTTTGATGGAGACATATGGATCTTCGGGCAGGACTTCAAGGCTTCTGCGCAGTTGAGTGGCTTTCAAGATCTGTCAGCGATGGAGCTGCCACTTGGGACGCTGCTGGGAGGTCGGGTGAAAGCAGCATATGAAAGTGTGAGCCGAAGTATGGACGAATGTTCGACAGGGTCAGGCAAACAGTGTCCAAAGTGGGAAGGACCATATATGGTCACTTCGAGATGGGGTTACGCAGACACAGTCGCAATGGCGAACAATAAGAGGCGCGTGAACGTCAGCGAGCTCCAGAAATGGATACAGCGAGACAAGCCAACGATGACGCCTGCACCAAGTAGATCAAGCCGACTTCAGTCGCACGTATTTGACGGGGGGACGAGTGTGGTGAGAGCAGGCTGCTAGCCGATTGGTTGGCACTAATCTACGTTAAGGTCTAGGTCACTAATATGGGCCGTGAGAAAATATGAACAAGCCTGAGTCAACAACCAATCACAGCAAAGTTAACGTGGCAGAATATGATTCGCAGAGAGAACTCTATTTGTCAAGGAATCCCGAAACAACCAATCAGAAGCCTGCGTTTGTCTACCTGAACAACCAATCAGATGACTGCGCTTGTCTATAATAATGTTGTCTGAAATATGTATAAATACGTGTTGATTTTCATAATAAAACGATCTGTTGCCTGGCCCTTGTCTTCTGTTGTTACACTTGTGATACAGAATGGAATTCTCAGTATTTCACTACATACAGTATTGCATCCAGTTTGCACATTAACAATAAATAAAATTCTACATAGATTAAGGGTAATCTCAGTTAGTTTTGACAACAACATATTAGCATATCGATAGCAAAGCCAAAATTTGAACAGTGTTTGAAGGTGTTAGAAAAGTAGACACTAGCATATTTACCGGCGTAACCGGTAACAAAAAGATGGAGATATACAGATTGTGAAAGAACGAAGAAGAATGTTATAAATGAGGTGTGTTAGGAAGACGGGTACAAAGCAGCACGTAACAACAAAAAAAGAAAAGGAAAAGAAAGAAAGAAAACGTTGTACGCATAGATGATTTGAGTTGGAAAGACGAGATCCAGTTGTTCTACTGACTATTTAATAAGTCGTAAGTTTCACGTCTAATCCTTTCTTTATCGCTCAGAACACGAGCCAAGTAGGGTATGGTTGAGTTTTTGTACTTTCTAGTGCGAGCATATAGTTTTCTGTATAGGCTTGTGGTTCTGCCTGATGTGAGATACAAGGGGAGAGTTGTGAATGAAGAGGGTGGTGTGAGTTAGATAGAATGGATCTAACCCATTTTTCACATGAGTCCAAGTGCCTGCCGACCAGAATATTAACAAGCTGGTTAAGTGGCACCATGTGGCTTACCCTGTTGACAACTTTTAACATCCTGCGTAATAAGATATAGTCTTTATTCAGTAGCCCTGCAGAAACTAATGGGGAACAATAGGGAATAATAGGCAGGATGCAAGAGTTAACGAATCGTAGGAGTGAGGGTCGGGTTATTCCAGAATGTCTTAACTTCTTGATGTAGAAGGTAAGACGGAATATTTTCTTAGAAATCATCAAGATATGAGAGGACCAGGAAAGATCAGCCGATAGAATGATGTCAAGATATTTAATTTCTGACTTGGTCTCTATTTCAGTGTCGTCTGTGTTGCACACCTTGTGAGGTCAGATTTATACCTAAAGGTGAAATTGACTGTTTGACATTTAGAGGGATTTAAGGTTAGACCGATGCACACCTTGTCCGCTGCGCGAAATGATAAACATCTAGTCACAAATCAATTGTCTCATAAATAGCTCACAAAAAGACAATGTAAAACATGAAAACTGGCTGGCAGAGTAAAGCGTCCTCTTTATTTCATTTATGCAACAATTAATCAGGAGTGCAACAACACCTCTAATAAATGAGTCATTTATTATTATTATTATTATTATTATTATTGTTTCCTTTAGTTCCTAGAGCAACATAGGGCTTCAGCTGCACGTATCCATTGAGTTCGGTTCTCTGCTAACGTTTTCAACTGGCTCCAAGTCTGCCCACATGCTTTCATCTCCTCTTCACACGACTTCCTCCATGTCATCCTTGGACGACCAACTCTCCACTTCCCGTTCGGGTTCCAAATCGAGCGATAGTCTGTCGAGTGACGTCAATTGATAGTTTTCTCAGAGTATGGCCAACCCACCTCCATTTCCTCCTACATACTGGTTGCACAATTGATTCTTGGTTGGTTGGTTCCCAGAGATCCCACACTGTTGTTTATCTTTCCTGGCCGGCCATCTGATCTTGAGCGAAGTGTCCAGCGAATACAGCTGTTGATGAAGGTCTGTAGTTTGTTCTAAGTCCCCTTCGTGACGCGCCGCCAAGTCTCTGATCCGTGTTGTAAGTAGCACTGACTTCACATTGGAGTTTAAAATCCGAATATTATTTTGCATGCTGAGTGCTGTTGACCTCCACATAGACTTCAGAGTAATGAAAGCTTGCCTTGCTTTCCTGATCCTTGCTTCGATACCCTCTTCAGTTCCGCCTGTAGTTGAAATGATGCTTCCCAGGTGGGTATGTAAGTGAGGTTGTTTCTTTCAGGTTCCTCCCATTTATGCTTACTGTTGTCTCTTGGTGTCGCTGTTGGCCAGGAAATCTTCATCACCTCTGTTTTCTCTATGTTCACCTGAAGGTCTATCATTTGTCTGGATACGTAAATTAAGATTAACTGTATACATTGATTGATCAGCAGGGTGTGACTAACGACAATAACAATAACGAATTTACACTATCAGTAGTAATTCCATGCAAACTTTACGTAGAATTCTTAACAATGCAGGCATAAAAGTGGCTCCCAAACTCAATTAGAAATAAGCTTTGTCGGTTAAAAGATCAATTCTGTGGAGTCAATTAAACAAAACAATTTAATTTATCTAATAACCTGCATTGATTAAAAGGTCAAATGTCTGTCTGTCTGTTTTCAACACAGAACTTTGCACAGATGTGCAGAAGTTCAAGTCGCCACACTCCATGTACCACTCAAAGCAACAGAAGAAGGTAGAAGAAATGCATAATAGAGACAGAAAACAGAAGTGTAAGACAAAGGAATAGTAATAAAGAAGAACAATATAGTTTCATTGGAAATCATAAGTCACAAGAAGTGGATGCATCTGCGCCATCCATTGACAACGATTATGAGCCATATCACCAATTGTTTCCAACGACTGGTTTTTACCGTCCCAAGGACCCCAACCAGTTAGGAAGTCTACACCTCCCTACATGGCTGGTCTAAACTAACCTTTGTGGATTTCATTGACTGGTGCAGCCATGTTTTGGTTTGACCACCGCTGGCTCTTTTCAAGCCTGACCCTATGTCAGCCAACATTGCCCGTTGACGAAGGGCGATAACTAGGCATATGTAACACATGTCCTAACCATCTCAATCGATTTAACTTCACAGCCTCGTCGATTGATTTCCCCTCCTTACCTAGCATCCGACGCCTAGCCTCAATGTAGCCCACCTTATTATTCCACACAACACAGGAGATAGAACGCAGGCACCTAAGATTCATGTCTTCTACTTTCAATGGCCAGGTCTCACAGCCATAAATGAGGTCAAATACGTAGGTCAAAGTAGTTCAGCGGCGTCCATTAAACTAGCGGAGCGCAAAAGCTTAGCAAAATCTAGATTAGTTGACCCTAATAAGGTAGGAAATCTGGAGAATAGCCCAGCCATAGCACTCACTACATGCAATTACACAGGAATCTTATAAAACAGGGCAGAGGGAGAGATTGATGACGTAAGCTTTATTTGTGGAATCAAATTAGAAAGAATACGTGCAATATGAATGATTTAACACCAGCCCTAAACATCTGTGTAATATGGAATTGCATACTGCCACAGTGCCCAAGTTATTTATGTAGTTATTCTTCCTCTTGTACGTTCTTTTATCTCATAGTTCTTTTGAACTCCTCTCTTTTCTTTTATTACTAATGGAAGAAAATAGAAGAAAAGAACACAACAAATGAAACTGACGTCAGTGTTTCATCCTCCCTTTTCTCTATCCTTTTTATTCTAAATGGAATATGGTGACTTGAACTGCTGCTCTTCTATATGCAAAGTTCCGTGTTGAAACACATTTAGTCAGAAGGTTATAATTATTAGTACTTGAATCCACGTTGTACATAATTTAAAGCAGGAATTTTGACATCAGACTAAAGAAAGACGTTAAACCTGTTACAACAATTTGTCTTCTTTTATTAACACAAGTACCAAGACCTCCAAACAGTGTTCAACATGAGCTGAATGAAAAATGTATGTGGGCAGAAAAGGAGTCAGAATCCTGCGTAATTGGCCACTAGGGTGTCAACTACATAACTTTTATCAAAAAAAAAGATAAAAGATAAAAAAGCCCTACCGATAGTTGCTACCTTGACGTGGTGGTCGGGCTTGCACATCGCGATGACCCAACAAGCTGAACTGGCTGGAACCAATGTTCCTGCAGGTCCTACCATGCCAGACTAAAAGCAGTTACCGGCATCGTGTAAGAATCTTTGCTGCGGGTCTGAGGGCGAATTCGTACTGCTGGGGGACAGGGGTGTAACAGCAGTGAGGTGTTTCCCTCAGATGACCAGCATGCCAGCCAGCTATGCCGTCTCTCCACTCCGGAGAGAGGGGGTTAGAAAAGGTCGACCCCAACATTTGTACATCCCGACTTACCCTACGATGGTCTGTAACCGGCGGTAAGTTTACTAATACGGAACCAATCCCAGAAACCAGTTCATACAGGCCGCATGTGACCAACCTCAAACAGTTGTCCCCTGGGCTTTGCGGTCACGCAACACTTCCTGTTTCAGATACCCGAAGAATCAATCAACTTCCACGGTGTGGGCAGCCGGGAATTAACAACCGCCCACACACTTCCAAAAGCACACGAAGCCTTCCTGAGCACTTCCAAAAAGCAGACTATCAAATCATCCTTAACCTCTAAACAGAAACTCTTACGGTAAAAGTGGGCCATTCTTTTGCAACATATAAAGAATTATCCTATGTAACACACCTGTAGCAGGTCACTAGCGAGCATCAGATTAATTTTCTATAGTTTGGTTTTTAAGGGTTTTTTGTTTTTACGATGCTCGCTAGTGACCTGCTACATATTGGAGTTTCCTGAGTTCTAGTGAGAAGTCGTGACCAGTGAGGTCCAATTAGATGTCACGTGTGTGGATGGACGTCCTACCAACGACAATGGTTGGGGTCGCGCTAAATCACGAATTGGTTGAAGTTAGAATTTATGAGCCACTGAATCGGGTCCCAGTGGCTGAATGGTATACGAGCTTGCCTTGTAACCGGAAGGTCCTGGGTTCGAAACCCAGTGGGTGCGTACTGCCGATGATTCCCAAACTAGGATGAAACAGCAGCTGTCCAGTACTCCCTGGTTTTCAATGGTTCTCTAACTGATATCAATCCGTGATCAACTCGTAAAAAGATATTTAAATGGTGGATGCTGACTAGTAGTGAGCGAAATCCAGGATGTGCATTTCGCCATATTTGGGACTTGTCAGCTGGATTTACCTGCATTTCTCAGTGAGTGATGTTCCCACCGAGGCTGGAACCCAGTGACCATAGTTTCAAACGCCAAAGCGTTATTCACTAGACCACTTTGGCCACATGACCCGTTGCACAAGAGGTGGCTCTGGCCGCTCAAGTGATCTAGTGTATAACGCTTTGGCGTTTGAAACTATGGTCACTGGGTTCCAGCCGCGGTGGGAACATCACTCACTGAGAAATGCAGGTACATCCAGCTGACGAGTCCCAAATATGGCGAAATGCACATCCTGGATTTCGCTCACTACTAGTCACCCTCCACCAATTAAATACTAATTAAATGCCCAGATGTCGTCGTCGAAGCATCTGCACAAGAAGCCGACATGTCAACCTGAGACCGGGCACTTCGGTCCAATCAATCGACGGGAAAATCTGAAATCCAATTAAAGCAAACAACAGATAGTAAATGACAAAGCATACCTTTATGTAGGAAAGATTGTATGCAGACCAATATTCATCCAGCCAACGCCAAGTTTCTTCATAGACTTTTCGATATTTCAATTCCAAGGGTGTGTCATCGCTTGACTTGGATTTTAATCTTGGTGGTTGAATATTTGAGAGACAGTGAAATGGTTCTGTGGTAGAAGTAGTAGTAGTATTATAGAAACTTTCTGACTTCACTTGATTAGTACTCTGAGTCCTTTCAGACTCCTTCATTGATATTTTAGAAAAGTATTTGCAAAAATCAGTAGGAGACCAGGCATCAGCATTGGCGAATACCAGCGGACTTTTAGAATAAAGTGAACTGAACAATCGAATACGATGAGAAAACATGTTCAGCAAAATAACATATTGGCCTTAGACTGGCATCCTCAGATCAGGGGTCAAACAAGTGACTGATTGGCCGACCAAAGAGTTAAAAGCATTTCCGAAATCTGATAACATTCAGTAAGAAATAAACAAAGAAATCATAACTTTTTTTAAATCATATACAAATCATTACTTTCTAATATATATATACTAACTACTACGTAATCAGGCAATGTCATATGTGCTGCGATCAGATTAAATACCAAAAAAAAGAAAACTTCATTAACACCAAGAGTGAGTGATGAAGATTTCCAGATTGATTTCAGGTTGATGAATATGAATCGGGAAGGCGAGAAACACACACTCATCAACCCGAAACCAATCTGGAAATCTTCGTCACTCAGCCAGCATCAACAACAAAATCCAGTCGGATTTTCAATACAAACGTCAAGTGAATCAGTTTTTCTATACGGAACAGATCAGAATCTTGGCGGGCGGGTCACAAAGAATATTTCCAACAGCCTATTGCAGACCTTCATCAACCAAAAACTGTCTTCGCTCTATACTGAAGATCAGATGGCCGGGCAGGAAAGAATCACCAACAAGAGGCTATGGGAACAAACAAAACGAGAACCAATCGCCAACCAACAAATATGCAGGAGAAGGCGGACTAAGATGGATTGGACTTTCGCTGAGGAGGCATCGCGCTGGGTAAAATCGTGCGCGCGTCAGGCCATTGCTCGAGTGGAACCAGGCCGAAAGGGAAGCGGCGAGTGGGACGTCAGTGCAAGGGTGACATGGAGGAGATTGTGTGAAGAGGTGTTGAAGCAGTATGGACGAACATGGATGCGGGTGAAAAGTACAGCAGAAGACATAAGTGGCAAGTGGGGACGTGCAGTTGAAGCCCTATGTTCCACTAGAAACCTAAGGGAACAATAACAATAATAATAACACCAAGAGTAACATTAGGAAAAGAAAATCAAACTTACATCGTTAGAAACGTAAGAATAAATAGAACCAATAGCGCAAATCAACTATTTTTTCTCCTAGTATTGTTGTGAAATTATTAAAGCATTAACACTACGGGGTATAATAAAGTCAGTACAAAACTAATGCCCAAACTTAACATAAAAGTCTAATATTTTAGAAAACGTCACTATTTCGGCGACGAAATAGGATAGACCAACACAATACTAGAACGAGATCAACTGGAATACAGAAAACACCGAACAGAAATCAAGAGCATAATAAAACTCATAATTTTACCTTCCTACTCTACTCTCAAACATGTACACCAAGTGGGAATATATATATATATATATATATATATATATATATATATATATAAAAGCGAAAATTCACACAACGAAAAAGTTAAGCAATATCATATTTGGAAAGGATGTTATTCAATTTCGCTCTGAACCCTATCGACTGTTATGTGAACCAAAGCCACGTGTTGCTTATATAACCCGGACTAATAGCCAATGATTAAAGTGATGCGCACCACATTACAACTTCGTTAGCATTAACTTTTTTCCCCGGCTTAACCATACTTCGCAAAGATGGCACAGAATTGATTCCAAAACTCATTCAAATCCTCACAAACCTAAAAATATGATAATTAAACGATTACAAATTAACAACTGAATACGGGATGTATTTCCCGTGACATGTTCTAAACAGTGGGATCAAATAAGTGGAGTGTGAGAACACATAATCACGGATGACACTGTGTGTCAGTGGTGCTGTATCGAGGAGTGGTGAAAGTTAGCATTCTTAGGCCTTTAGATTTCAACTTGAAAGTAACAGGGTTCGATCTGTGTTGAAACCATCATGTATGAGTATTGCTTAAGAGACCCTGACTCTGCCAGCACGTCGCTTTTAATGGTTGTCTAACTGAGTTTTAGATCGTGACAAAATTCACCTTGACAGTAATAATAATGTGACGGTAACAAGCATCCCTGAAACAAACAGACGTGAAAATACAAGAAGTAACAAAGATGGGAAAACTTCAAGTGGACATAGCGACGATGGAAGTGATGAAGATAACCAACCAACAATAACAAGTACCAATCTTCTCTATCAGCGAAGTAAATTTGAAATAGAAATCACCTCCTTCACTTAACTTTAGGCTGAATCGTTTCAACTACAGGTGACAGTACAGATGCAGATGTCAAAGTTAGAATCGGAAAGGTAAAGCATACCATTATCATCACTCTGAAATCAGTTTGTGGAAATCTCCTGCACCCAGTATAAAGAACAAAATTCGGATTTCCAACACCAGTGTTCAGTCACTTCTTTAATATGGGTCGGGAACTCGGCGTGCGCATCACGAATAGCATTTCTAACAGGCTTCAGACTTTATCACCAGCTCAACTAATATGTAGAGGAAAAATGCAAATGGATCGAACATACACCGAAGAGACCGTTGGGTGGCACAGCATGCCACGATATAGCTAAGTAAAACCGGAATAGGGAATGACGAATCGAATCTCCGAGGGTGACATGGAGGTCATGTAGGGAGATGGAAGCTTATGGGTAATCGTGGAGCCGGATGAAGAGGATTGCAGAGGACAGGATAAAATGAAGATGTTCTTTTGAAGCCATATCCACTCCGAACCTAAGGGGACAAATATATATATATATATATATATATATATATATATATATATATATATATGGACAGATAATGGTCTGAGACATGATGCAAGCGGGGACCAGCCACTAGCCCAGTGCTCTACCTACTGAACTACGACATTCAGCTGCTATTCAGGTTTCAGATGGTTGGAGGTAGTCGGCAGGAAGTTTTAGATCTAGGTTTCCTGCTAGTTGGCACTTACCAGTCAGCAAGGCGTATCTGCAACCTTGAAGGGACTCATGTCCCTCCTGAGATTCTAACCCGCATCACCCAGTGCCGCCTTCAGTCAGAGACGTTACCACTGAGTTAATCGGGCTCCCGACTGACCTCCTGTAGGACTGTAATGGATATTTTGATTTGACACTAGTGTGCTGTGTCTAATCCTCTCTTTGGTGCAGACTGAATTCTAACAGTCAGGTTGTTATGTGGCCACCATCTTAGGTAGCTCGCCGTCACGTGCAGATTACCTCTAACCATCTAATATCATCAAATCAATGTGCACCATGATGGCAAGCTACCTAAAATGGTGACCACATTACAACCTGACTGATAGGATTCAGTCTGCACCAAAAAGAGGACTACACATCACACTGGTTACTAGTGTCAAGTCCAAGGGTATCAGGTTATTATTTTATTGCAAACATCAAGGGTAATGCCCAAATGTCATGTGAATAAGCGATACGTAACCGAATCTTTTACACATCAAGTTCTAGTGAATCGATGAAATCATATTTCTGGCTGTACTCCAAAAGACAGAGATATACGTCTTAACATATATCACCGTTGCTACAGTGACTTCGCTGTGTAGTCAATGATAGGCTGGTTTGGATACTTACGTCTGATCTACACCTTCTCAGAATGATTGCTTGAATCCAGTGGTGACACTATGTAAGCTATTTCGTAGTCCGGTAGCTCATGTCTCAATATGATGAAGACTATTAGTTACTGTTACACTTCAGTTCGACTGAGGTAGGTAGGTACGTGGTTATCATATGATGGAGTACCTGTAAGTTGCTATTCACTAGTCTATGCAGTTAACTTCAAACCAGGTTCAAATTCAGGTTTCTGAAACTATGCAATATCGTTAACCACCATTATATAATCGGATGCAGCTCATTGACTAAATCACAAATACCTATGACTGCTTTCCTTTTACATTAAGTGAATTAGATCATTTAAATTTAATTACTTTACTGTCATCATGGAGCAACACACTTCTTATCCATCATTCACCTATATATATATATATTATATATATATATATATATATATATATATATATATATATATATGAGCATTTCAACGGGTGTTGGTCAGTAAAACTAAAGTACATCGTTCTTATCAACAAAAAGGATACCTGTCTGGATTAGATATAAAGAATGTGGATGATCGCTGATAGTGAACCAGATGATAAAATATAGAGAGCAAACTTATAGACAACTATGAGCTTACTGACATGAACTAACTAAATTTTCCTTATATTTAGTAATGTGCCTTCAGGCACTGACTATTTGACTACAACTTTTAAACAAAGAGGTTTCTCTCTGTGTGTTAGTGCTAATAACGTTCAAAATTTAGTCTGGTTATACTACTTAAAACAATCAGATGTATACATGTTGATGAAATGATGTTGGGAACAAGATACATCACAGGACCATTGGTGCTCATACAATAAGCAAGCTTTTCGATTTTTCTATTTTGTGTTGGTTCGGTAGATTTCCGGTGGGTAACAGAATATGACTTAAAGTTCCCCTAAAACCAGTGCAACCACAGATTAATAACTGATGAACATATGGCACTCTCCATGTACAAAAGTTACAAAGGTTGACCGAACTGCTTCAAGTTTACAACCCAAAACCGGAAATACTGGGGTAACATTAAACCCCTTATTTAGCAAGATGGCACATGCACTTATCAGTCTTAATCTAACCTTAACTCTTGCAGAAATATGAAATGTTTGAACTGAAAAAGATACTCATCACAAGCAAAACAAATCAAAACTCAGTTTTCACAAGGTAATTTTCATTTAATAATCTACAGGTTAAGATAAGGTTATCGATCCGATAAGATCATTCAGCCTTCTCGTGTTATACAGACATGTAGTATTAACAACTAGGAGAGTTAATTGACACCATCATGAATCCTTCTGTTCATCTGATTTCTAAAGGAATGTACAAAAACAGCAATGCACTTACCACAACCCGGTGAGATACTAATGGCAAGGGCTGCTTAAAATCATTATTACAGTTTGAAATCCCCATTCCAAGCCCAAAACCTGATCCAAAAATAAGGGGCCACGGACGTCCTGAAAAATGACTATTTCCGTTAGCAATCACCTACTTTTAGTAAGCAGAAAGGAAAAAATTACTCCCCCGAATAAACCCGCCCCTTAAAATAACTTGAAAAAAATATTTATGTCAAACCTGTCTTAATTATAGTATCAGCAAAACATTTGTCTAATTTAAGACCCAGGATATCTTCTGAGTTCGGAGAGTTGCTCATTATACCGCACTTGGTGAAAAAGGCGCTTCACTTTCAATATCCAATATCGTTTTTACGAGCTGGTATAACGAGTTGATCACGGATTGATATCAGTTAGAGAACCATTGAAAACCAGGGAGTACGGAACAGCAGCTGTTCAATACTTTCTAGTTTTCAATGGTTCTCTAACTGATATCAATCCGTGATCAACTCGTAAAACATAACTAATCCTTACAAACCAAACTATAGAGAGCTAGTATAAACCAATTTGATTTCTTTGTGCTCTCTTCTTGATTGTAGGGTAAAGGTTCCTGATCTTCGGTAAACTTCTGCGTAGCTTGTCCCGCCACTCGACTGTCGTAGCTTTGGTTGACTCCAAAGGGAGTAGTGCTGGGATTAATTATATGTGGTTTGTAGCATGAGGTATGTAAAGACTTTTACTACTGTGATTGGAGTTGGTCCTTTCGCCAATCAGTCCTCCGGTATCGTCGACAAGAGAAAAGAGATAGTAATAATAATAATAGATATAATTAGTGAAGTTATTCAGACTAAGAGACAGAAACGGAAGTAGGAAAGCGTAACAACAGTCAGCTCATTAAGTTTGAAGAATTATATATATATATATATATATGTATCGGTAATAACGATAATAATAATAATAGTAATAATAATTACAATATTAATAAGTTGTCAGGAGAGTAAGACGGGAGAGAATGTAAAGAAGTAGAACGACGAGTTTAATTGTCTACCCCTGAATAGTGTATGCGATTTTAAGGAGATAGGCTATTTGAATGTAGTCCTTGTGTCGCTGCACGGTTGTCCAGCCTTCGCTTAAAGAAGTCCAAAGACGGTGCCGTAGCTACATCTGCCGGTAACGAATTCCAGGGACGGTGAACCCGCAGTGAAAAGAAGTGGGAGCGCACCCGTGTCCTTGCCCTTTGGTGAGCTATCCTTCTGGGATTTCCACGTGGGAGCCTATACCTACTCAATGGCAGAACACCTTTTGTCAATGGAGTTGAAGATTGAACGATCAATTCTTGGTTGTTTGCTCAAAATCAACTTCCCCAATTTTCGCGGAGGCATCAATACGACAGTCATCGTCTCATCGGCCGCTGTTCAGAAAGAAGAGTAAAACATCGTCAGAAGTAGTATTATGATTTATTATTGTAATATTTGTCCACAGACCTTAGTCATACTTGATTTATATGTTGGTGTAACAATACATAATACTCAAGTCAACAATTGGTGTTTTGGTTTTTTCGTCCGTTGTTACTAAGCGTTTCTGAGAAACTTCAAGCGACAGCGTGAGCCCGAGCGTAGCAGGAGCTAAGCATTAACGGTTTACGAGACGTGACTGACACCTTTGTTTGGGTGATTCTGGTCATTTGTTATTTTGTAGGCAGTAATCAAATCGCCCCTAAGCCGGCGGTAGCTGTGTGAACAGGCCTAATTTTTTCAGCCTTTCATCATATGGTTTGTTTCGGAGACCAACCACTCCTTTTGTTGCCCGTCGTTGGACTCTTTCCAAGAGGTTGGCATCTCTTCTCAGCATTGGGGGTGCAATAATATTATGCACCTCAAGGTGTGGCCTGACGTATGTTTTGTACAACATTAGAAAGAGCTCAGGAGTGAGTGCACCTAACTGTCTATGCGTAAAGTGTATGACCGCATATGCCCTCGCTACATCCCCTGTGTAATTTACGCTTGTGTCCATTTTTTCCGTTAGAACTAGACCTAAGTCGCGTTCCGACGTTGTGCAGGACAAGCTTTCATTGCACAGGGTGTAACTTGCATTCTGCAGTCTACAGGTGCGCAACTTCACTACTTTGCACTTTTTCAAGTTGAAAGTCATGCCACTGGCCACCGCCCAGTCTTCCAGAAGGTTTAGGTCTTCCTGTAGCCTATCTGAGTCCTCCGGACACTTTATCGCCCTCCATATTTTTACGTCGTCAGCGTACAGGAGAGTCGGGCAGCTCAGACGGCGTGGTAAAAAAATCAAAAACATCAGTGGTCCTAGGATAGAACCCTGCGACACTCCTGATGACGATCTGTGCCAAGATGATCGGACTCGGTTAACCTTAGTGCAAAATTGCCTGTCGGCTAGGTAGTCCTTCAACCATGACAGAAGTGGCTCACCTATGCCTGCCTGGCTTATTTTATGTAGGAGAAGGTCATGGTGAACAGTGTCAAATGCCTTCTCAAAGTCTAGGAAGACCACATGGACTGGTACGTTCAAGTCCCAGCATGATGTCCAGTCGTCCCAAGCTGACAGTAGGTTAGTGACGCAGGATCTGCCTTTTCTGAAACCATGTTGGGCTTCATGTAGTATATTAGTCCTATCGAAATATTCCCTGATGTGGTCGTCAATAATACTTTCCAGTACTTTTGATACCACTGGGAGTAGAGCTACTGGTCTATAGCTAGCAGCGTTTTGCCTGTCCCCACCCTTGAAGATTGGAGAAAGGATGGCTCTTTTCCACTCCCTTGGCAGGGTCCCCGAATCCATTGAGTGTTGGAACAAGTCGCACAGGGGTCTACAGAGAGCCTCGGCGCACTGTTTCAGAACAGATGGCCTGATGTCATCACAACCTGGGGACTTCCCAGGTATGAGTCGCTGTAGCTTCCTTAGTACTATTGCGGGGTTTATTTGGGGAGTAGTCGCTAGGTCTTCCTCCTCTGAAATAGTGGTGCCACCATTTTGGTCCGTAACTGTAATATCCACATTGCTGTTTAGCTGTTTGGCGAAGGCTGAACTGAATGTTTTAGCCATCTCCAGACTAGTGAGATATTGACCGTTTGGGCCTACTAAGGCGCATGCCCTTGCTTGGTTGGTTTTCTTCCCGACATGAATCGGTACAAGTTTTTGGGGTTTGCTAGGAGTTCATTTCTCAACACATGTTTCACTCAGATGTTAAGTTGAAGGTCACTGAGTCAGTTTTGAATTTTTCTCGTATCAAATGAAACTCAGGTCGTAGTCTGTATTCCTGAACGTCTATGTCCACTAGATGTGTCAAGACATACCTTAATTTATTCACTCAAGGCTTTGTGGGTGTAACTTTGAGATGTGTCTTAAAGCAACATTCCTGTTTGCTTTCACCTTAATCTGCGATCTAAAGTTCATCAAATCTTGGTAGAAATAAGGTCTTCCCTCAAAACATTTGAGAGTCACCATCACAGTTCTTATTGGATGTTCTTTACGTCTACCACACATCATATGAAGTCGTCAGGAACAAGTACTTCCCCCATCTAGACCTTTCCATGCATATGAAGTCACATTTCACTAACCAATGGTAACGAGGGATTTTTGCAAATCATCCACTGTCAATGATATTAGTCAGGCGCCTCCTTTGTATCCACGGTACAGAACACCTCCTCACAACAGTAAATTCTACTGCTAATCCATCGCAACATGGCTGAAGTACAAGTGTTAGTTACGAGTTGTAAGTCAACCACTTCATTTGGTGCCACCGGAGTGATCGCGCGAGTATCTAAAATTCTTCAACCTTCGGCAAACTATGCTGCAATGGTGTCACCAGCCGCCAACTGTATGTTTACCTCTAGATGTATGGTATGTGTCCGGGGATACGTGAATATGCACTCACATCCATTTACCTCGTTTCTCCAAAGATGAACACCTGACAGTCGAAAGTAGTAGATTCTTACAGAGTGAAAGGAGAGCCAGAAATTTCACCCTCGAGAATCTAGGAGAAGCTTCGTCGTCTGATGACCAAAACTAGCCCTCATATGTCCACGCTCGGTGCATGTTTTAGTAGGAACTAGGCTAAAAGTATGGCTTATTTTACCTATAAAGACCTACACAGATCTTAAATTAGCCATCCCTTCCATAAGACTTTCTCACCAATAACTCAGATTTCACAGGCTCTCTGCCCAAGAAAGTGCATTTGACCACCACATAACTGTTTGAAATCCAACTCTTTTCTTGTACTCTACGGGGTTTCAATTGAGAGAATTTTCTCTCAAGCTAACGTGTTACCGGTGGTCAAAGGACAATACCCGGGCGATTACCAACGAATGTGGCATATTGGCTGTTTTCCTGTTTTAGGAGCATAATGGATTCCTTAGAGGTCAGTCAGTTGTAGTGACTGAACGATTTCGAGCCCGTTTTCCCATTTATTTTACCCAAAAACGACGCTGACGAATATTTTATAGCTACCTATCCCACCGGCCTTGCTCTTCGGCCACACGATTTTTTTATCCCTTAGCCAGGACATGTTGTCATATCAGTCTCCAATTTGTCACAGACCTGCCACTAATTGATATTATCGCGTCGACAGTTGGTATGACTGCATAGTTATAACAATCCTGATGCAGTGAACAACTCAACAATTGTGCTGAAAATTCCACACTGTACCACAAGTACTGTTTCTGTATTAAAGCGAAATTGTTATGTTATGTATGCTAGATACACCCATTTGTCCGTGGTACCTTAGCTTCACTGAGCCCCGTAAATATCAAAAGGTACTGGCCTGTGACTGTCCGAAAACATTTCGTTCAGAAAATATCACCACATAAAAATTGGCCTGCATCGGGGGAAATAGTCTCTTCTGATTAGTAGGCTATTCAGCTAGGCAGGCGAAAAATAAATATTCTGACTCGTTGGATATTTTAGCAAGACCAGGGTAAGAAAAAGATTATATAATTTACAGCCGTCCGATCACACGATCATTACTGTTTTAATTCAATTCCAATCAGGACCACTTGATCAGTTGACTGCACCGCATTTAACACTATCCCATCTAGTGTTGCCAGAACGTAGTGCTGACGGCCGCTCAAGGATATCTTCAATGAAATATAACAGCAGATGCTCAATCACTGCACGATTCAACAACTAAGCCCTCATTCTTTTTGATTGCAAACTACTCAGTAACCAGTGTAATGTGTCTGGTCCTATCTTTGAAGCAGAGTGAATTCCATCAGTCAAGCTTGCAGTGTGGCCACTATGGTAGGTGACTTGCCATCACGTCGCCACCTGAATTGTTGGTATTGTATGGTTGGAGGAATTGGCGGGAAACCTTCGACCCAGGATCCTTGGTGGTTGGCAGC